GGTGCTGTTACTCTGCTTCAGAATGGATGGTATTTTAACAATATGTGACAAAGTAACAAGATTTCAGGGGAAAGTTGAAATGAACAAGAAATTTGGAGACTGATTGGAACTTTTGCCTAGGCTTTTGTTACTGTTAATAATGTTATCTCATTAAATGAGAAAGTGCTCATCTAACTATACGAAAACTTAGAAATTGAGTGATGTTAATATCTTTAGAAATCTTACAAGTAAATATTTTTTTAATTTTGATTTATCAATTTTATTTTTATTAATGTGTTACTGGTGGTACACTGTAACATTTACAAAGGTTTTACAATATATCATAGTTGAATTCACCCCATCCATCATTCTAATTTATCCCCCATTCCTGGAATAGTTTCAAAAGATATCATCTCTCCATTTACATACATGTGTACACAGTATTTGAACAATATTCACCCTCCTACACCTTTTCCCCACATCTTGCCCCTCCCCCCACACCCTGGGTACCAATCCCCCAGACAGGACCAGTTTTGGCTTCCTGGTTTCTGTTTTTGTAAAAACTGACATTTTAGTTTGTTTAAGATAGCTAATAGGTTGTTTCATTGTGACATTCAATGCATATATGTACTATAGCTCATCTCCTCTATTGTCTTCCTTTCTACCTTTGTCCCCTTCTTATGGTGATTTCAACAAGTTTTAAAATTCTGTTTGTGTGTTATTTAAATATTTATTCAAAAATATAAAATCAAGAAAGCTGATTAACATTAAACAGAAATATTATGGCTCAATTTTTAAAATACTTGAATGAATCAGAAGAATAATTACAATGATTCCCACTTTTAAGGGGTATTTGTATGTTATTGTGAAACATTAATTTGCACTGTGCAAACTTTTTAACTAATTACTAGGTAAAACAAGCAGAATATGACTTCTAGATCATTTACCAGAAGAATTAAATCAATATTTGTAAATATAATAAAATATATTTAATTAAAATACAGCTAATATTTGTACAATTTGTAAATTGGAATGACAGACTGAATGTAATTAACAAATAAGTCTTAATATGTACAAAAATAGAAGAGAAGAATTTGAATGGATTCCTCATAAAGAAATTATGTAGGTTACTAAGTGACCTACAAACATTGCAGGGCCACAAACATTGTGGAAAGAAGAGCATAAATCCCCCTTCCTCAGTTCCCACATACACACAGGAGAGCTTGGCCTGAGGAAGCAAAGCACCATTCTTCCTGGAATACAAAGGGATCAGGTGTAAAAGATTCCTGTGTGGGTGGGGGTCAAGACCTGCAAAGGATGGGTGGGAGCTGTGTGTGCCTTGATTTGGATCTTGAAAGCCCTGGGAAGGTCATGAGTGTCTTTCTATCCCATTCTGTTGTCATTGTCACCTGGAAATCCTAGATGCTCCAGAGATAAATGACAGGGAGATGTAAACAAAAAAAAAGAAATTATAAAATTTTAAGGTGATGAATAAGCTAATGACCATGAGTTGATCCCCTCCTAATATGTACATAAATTGGAATATCACATTGTACCTCATAAACATGTGTGAATATTGCTTTAATCAAAAACAATTAAAAGGTATAAAGAAAATATTTTAAGGTGATATCATCAAATATATTGTTTCTTTTCTTTTTCCTATTAAAAATCTCAAAATGTTTTATAATATAGTTTATATGTAAGTTATAAACAATAAATGTACATATAAGTGAAAATATAAATACTTTACTGGTTGAGTTTGGTAAGCACCAAACTATTTAAAGATAGTTTATACAAATCAATAATTGGTGAGGACATAGTGATCTTAATGCTAAAAACAGCATATATTCTTTTTATAAGCAATTTTTCTTCAAGTTCTGTATTGTAGTACCCTAAATATTTTCTCATATGATGCAGTTTTTAAAATTAATGATTAGTCTCCTTCAATTCCAACTTCATTTTAAAGTGTTAAAGAAGAACTACACAGGATTTTTAACCTATGATATAATGGGCCTTCATCATAAAATCTAATTCTCCTCAGTGCCCATGCATGTTTGGTCATAATGAACTTTTATAAAACTTAGCACCTTTTTCTCACATTGGTTGTTTATAAAGTCTAATCCATTAATTATTCTAAATTACATATTCCTAACCTAACTTTATAATTTTATATTAATCCCCATCAAGAGTACATTTGAATTTTATTTTATTAGTGAACATATTAGCCTTCCTAATTTATTGTTATTCACAACTTTGCTAACTTATTTACTTATTCCTGATTGTTAGATGAATATATAGAAATCTGTGAAATGTGGGTTTTATTGATAGGAATAAATATAATCTCATTATGATAAGAATAACCTAGATCTGACTACAAACGCTGTGAACGTTTGAGTATGAAGTGACTACCATATTTCTTGACAAGACTCATATGAAGCTTCATATTAATTAACTTCTGTGGATAATTGAAGTTGTGCAAACTGGCAAAGAAGAAGTGGACGAGAGGCCTACATTCTGTCCATGTGAGCCATCACTTTGTGCAATACATGAAGATAGTCAGTGTGATTGAGGCATAAGACTTGCAGCTGAAAGAGATCAGAGACAAAACTGGAAAGTGAGATATGTAAACATCTGAGGAGTCTGAATATTATTCTTCTGGCAATAGAGAGTCACAAAATGTTTAGGAGAATAGCATGATCCATTTGTACTTTGGAAAGAATTCTAATAGCAATGTAGTGAATAAGTCAGAGATCAAAGCAGAAAGGCTATTGAAGAGACAATTGATAAACCTTGAGAATAACTTCTTATCACTTACTCTGCATATACCACTAGAAAAAGATGTTAGTTATGTCTTTCACTTTTGGTTCCAGAGAAGATAGAACATCAGAAATGGGAGATATTGGTGAACAATAGAAAGTTTAATATATCAAGCAAAATTTGAGAATCATAAGTTCAGATAATAGAATCACATGTGCTATTTACACAAATGAACATTTATTTAGAAACTCATAATTTATTTTGAATTAAGTGGAAAATCTAATCACTTTCACTAATCATTTCCCAACATGCTTTATGCCTAGGATTTCTTTCCTTTTGTGTTTCCCATTATCTACTTCTAAATAGCCTAGAAATTAAAGGAAAAATCTTACACACTCAAAGTAATTAAATATATTACCAAATTTCAAAAAATTATTAGTAAACCCTTTTTGGTTGTAAATAAAAACTGGACAAGGTACAGTCCTTGCACTATATTAAATGATTCTTAGATTTACCCACATATCAGGCTTTAAAATGTCCTAAGTAGACTTAGAGTTCATATATAAACAATGAGCTTAATAAGCAAGCAATATAATACTTAGAAACATAAAATAGCCCACATCATTTTATTTGGCAACAACTTAACTCATAGGTAAGACTGTTTGCATCAGGCATCAGAGTTTTTGTCACATGTCAAGCTTTTTGAATCAAAATTTTTGAGTATAGTTATTTATAAGGTACAGTTGTTTGTATATAAAATTGAGTTTCTGAGGCAAAGAAAGCTGAATATTGAAAACTGAAGGGTACTTGTTTGATATGTCTTCATGTATTGTCAAATAATGTATTCTTCAAGAACTGCAGTTTCATAGAAGCCTTTTACACATAGATGGCCTCTATTTGAAGGGTAATTTGAGTATTATTAATGCTCTAGTCAATATTTATTTAAATGTGCAAATAGAAAACTATAGTGGTAGCTCTAAAATTCATATTGAATTGTTTGGAAGTCCAACAAGTTATATTTACTTTGGGATATATTGGGATAAAATTTATGTAAAAATTTGGTAAGTCAAAAAACCTAGTCAGAAACTTCTGTAACATCCTCATTTACCTTGCATAGAAACTAAGTCAGACATTTGAGCAAATTTCAAGGCATAAGTTTCATCACTCATAGAGAAAATTGACACTAGTTTTTTAGGAAAAGTTTTTTTCAGTCACACTAAAATATGACACCATTTCTAAGAAAAAGGGTCAAACACTACTTTTCACATGATCAGTCATTGTATCTAATTTCAATGTTCCAATTACTTTATTTGAAAAATAATGTTCTCTACTAGAACCCATAAAGCATTAATTTCACATATGGCATTGTTTAAGTCTCTGGAATGCTGTAAAATTATCTTACTGTTATTTTGCATCCTTAGTGACATGGGCCAAAGGGAAATTTCTACTTAATTTTGTTAATAATTCTTGAGAGATTCATGGACATTACAGGATGAATTTTATCATGCCTGAGTTTACAGTTTATGTACATTACATTTTTTATATTTTGACATTAGCAGATTATCTAAGTAACAGATACCTTATTATTTTTAATGCATAAAAGAGCATGGTAATATAGGTCTGACAGCATTTTGAAAATGAAATTAGTGCATTTCACAAAACTGAATAGATACAAAAATCAGTAAGTGTAATCTATAATTCCTATTCGATACCTGCCATGCAGTGATGCCTTAACCTCTTTGAATTTCCTTTAATATGTTCTAATAATACACTATCTAAGCTGGTTAAAATGTGGAAGTATTGAGTTATTTAACTAAAAAATGCTATTAAATTGATTTATTCCAAGTTTCTAAACATCAAATAAGGAAATCAAATATCACATTCTACATCCACCAGTAATAAACTCATTAGGTGATTAAACCTAGGTAGTGTATTAAACTCTATAAGGAATAGGTGACAAATTGAATCTCTGAGTTCCACAACAATGGAAAGGAACATGGAAAATCTGTAGTCTCTCTTTGAGAGAAGAGGAAGTGAACAGAAGAACAAAATAAAAAGGAAAAACACATAAACTATCTTTTCTATGTCCGCTCAGCATGAGAAAAGTGTAAGGGTAAAGTTCAGTCTAAACTATAATTAAAAAATGTTCATATGGTGTTAAATATAGACATAAAAGAGCTCTGTGACACTCCATTTTTCTTTCCTTTCTTTCTTTCTTTTTTTCTTTTTTTTTATCAATAACGTTAGTATGTCATTAAAATAACTCACTTCATTGAGAAAACTTCCATCTTTCTGACCATGTACCTAAACGCATCTTTTACTTGTTTGTTTCTCAATGTATAAATGAAGGGATTCAACATGGGTGCAACAGAAGTACTGAGAAGAGCTATTCCTTTATTTAAAGACACTCTTTCCTTTGCAGAAGGTTTCACATACATGAAAATGCAGCTGCCATAAGAAATGGACACAACAACCATATGTGAAGAACATGTAGAAAAGGCTTTCTTCCTCTGTTGCGGAGAAGGGATTCTTAGAATAGTTCTGATGATGTTTGTATAAGAGAGAATCACTAATACCAATGTAACCAGGAGTGTCAGAATGGCTGAAAGAAGCATCATTAATTCTATAATGTCTGTGTCTGTGCAGGAGAGCTGAAGGATAGGAGAAACATCACAGAAGAAGTGATCTACAGTGTTGGCTGCACAGAAATCAAGCTGGAGACCCATCAGAAGTGGAGGGAAAATTATCAGGAAACCAGCCAACCAGGAAGCAAAGACCAGCATGTTGCATACTTTGTTGCTCATGATGGTCATGTAGTGCAGGGGTTTGCAGATGGCCACATAGCGGTCATAGGACATGGCAGCCAGAAAAAAAAATTCAGTTGCCCTAAGAGAATAGTGAAAAACAGCTGTGCAGCACAGTCATTATAAGAAATAGTCTTATTACCTGTGGCCATACTAACAAGAAATTTGGGGATACAGACAGTTGTGAATGAAATTTCTAAAAATGAGAAATTTCGGAGAAAGAAATACATGGGTGTCCTGAGATGAAAATCTAGTAGGGTTAGGGTGATGATGGTTAGGTTCCCAGTAACACTCAAAATATAGGTGAAAAAAAGAAGGAGAGAAATGACCACTTGTAATTGTGGATCATCTGTTAATCCAAGGAGAATAAAGGCTGTGACTGTGGTATGGTTTTTCATAGCTGATAAATGTCTAACAAAATAAGACAAAAATTAGAAGCAAACAGGACAGAGCTGAGTGAGATAACTTTTTGTTTTGAGATCCTCTGTAAACATGTTGCTATCCGCACCCAACTTCTTTCAATATTCTTCTACTCAATGGTAGCATATGAAATTTTTTCTCATACCATTTTTCACAAAATTTCACTAAATATATGCAAGTTCTTGAGTTTGTATTATATTCTCAATATCCATGAACCAAAGCATTCCAAAGGTATAATATATTGCATTGATAAAGTCATGCAAGTGTTTAAAACAAAGAAACCAAAATTATCTTAATTTTTTAATATCTACCTTCTGTAGTACATTGGAATTTTTGTAACACAATTACTTTAGATTAAATTATTTTACATCATCTAGTGACTCATTATTCCTTGCTAAACACATATTTTGCTTGCATTTATTACTTTTTTCCCATAGACTTTGCTACTTTTTAATGTTGGATTATGGCTGGGAACTCTATATTAAAAGCAATACCGTGGATTCAAACATTGTTAGTGAACATGAAGTGGTAACATCCTCATCAAACTTTTGCAAATCCTGTGACCACTTTTAGTTCTGCTTTCCTCCATATCCTGAAGACTTGAATTTGCTTTTTCTTGTTGAGTCTTCCCTGCATTTTTGTCTTTAATTTTTGTCTTAAAATATTACATTTTACCACTCTTGTATGGTTTCTCATTATGGTTCTCTGACCCTTACCATGGCTGAATAGAAAAAAAAAAAGTAGTTATTTATCTGTTCAGCACAGTGGCCATGAAAACTAGTGTTGAAAAGAAATATAATGCTTATTTGTGTCTTATAGATGTTTATACCAAGAAAAATAATTTTAGCATTTTCAGATTTTCTGAGTAGAGAATTAAGATATAAATTTGCAATTCTACTGGCAAATAATCTACATGATATTAGTAATTGTTCATTTGATTTATGTAAATGAATTAGAGGTAAATTAACAGTTTAGACAGAAAAAATATTTTTCTTTGTTGAGAATTACCAGGAGTTGGATGCCATGTTACTTTCCTTTTCAGTTAAAGATTAGTTGAATAAAATGAAACACATTTGCCTAAAAACCCAAAATGCTACCTGTTATTTGAAACACATCAGTCCACATTTTACATTACACACATACACACACACACACACACACACACATAAGCATGCACTTCTCCATTCTTAGTATACAGTGCTAGCACATGATTACTATTTTATTCACTAAATCAAGCTGAAATTCCTATTCCTGTTGCATTTCTTCCATGGCTGCAATCCAATTCTGAATAGATGAAAATGAAGCATAGGAAACAATTGTATTTACTGTTCCTATTAGTATTCCCATTGCTTAGATCTCCGCTTTCATCCTCCATTCCTTTCACCCTGAACCCTAGTAACAAATCAACAGGAATAATATGATAACATGAGTGACTGCAGATAGATATTGACATTTCTGCATTTCTTCTGTGTTTACAGATCTGAGAATGCACCAAGTAAAGTGAATATTGGGATGTAGGGACATAGGAACAAAGGGAAATATATAAATGTAGTTTTATGAGATGGGGGAAATGAATACAAAGCTGTGTGGAAATCTAGAGAGATAAGGATTCTTAAAGATGGGACAATGAAATTAAAAAATTAAAAATGTTAAATATAAATTTTTTCTCCATCCACTTCTGGTTCTTGCTACATTTCACTCTTTATTTAGAGATCAAAATATGAATAATTTTCAGCTCAGCATAGCCTAAAAAGAAGAGGATTATTTGGTGAATTTCAAAAAGCATAATGAATCTCTGGACAGCACTGAAACATAACTTAAGAGTCATACGAATATTAAAATGCAATGAAGAGATATTAACAAGGAGATAATTGTTTTTGATATCAAGTATATATAAAATGAGATAGTAAACTTATACAACAAAATTGTTTAAGTTTGTATAGCAAGTAAATTGGAGGTCTAATATTAAGATTAATGACATCTGTGGGGAAATTTTCCTTTCTGGATATCTTCATCATCAAACACATTAAACAGTTACATTTTCATGATGGACATGACATTATATGAGAATATACTTTGTGTTGAGGGTATCATGATAATTATTTACAACCTCTAAAACACACATTATGGAGAAAGTACAGATATCACTAAAATAGACATGTAAGGATAGATAGAACTTATCTCCAATTATATCTACAAAACATTGCAGGAGAAAATTTGGATTCTACGATAGGTATGAGAATAAAAGAAATCAGACATGATATTACAATAAGAACATTCTGACCAAAAGCAAAGTAAAGTGTACAAACAGAAATTTATCAGAAACAATGGACAGAGTTTTGCTGTTAAAACCATGGATGTTAATGATGTAGATAGGCATGAGGGAAAAGAAATGACTCATTTTTATTGGATGGTCCTTTCTCATTCAGATAATTTTGAAGGAATTTCTTAGAATATTTTCCTTATTTACACAAATTGCCTTAATGGTAACTATTTTAGGAATCAATCTAAAAGACAAAAATAGGAATTTTATCATGTTAGATCACTCCTTTGTCCAAATTCAACACCATATAGACCAACTATCCAAATACACTGTAAAAAAATAAAAAGTATGTTAGAAGTAAAGCCAATGAATGAAGTTTCATTTAGCCGTTTTAGCTAATATAAATATCAGGTTAACAAAATAAAGCTTTCAATTTTAAATTGTCATATCATTATTTTCTTCCTGAATTAAAATTTTGAAAGTTGAAGAAAAATAGGTTAGTTCTTTAAAAGTAAAACAAATGTGAATTACAATCTATCTAAGAAAAACATTATTTTATACTTTTATAAATATTTACATCCTTTGAAATTCTAAATCAGTATGATAAAAAGTCTTTAAATTGCAAACATTTATCTAAAACAAAAAGTATCTTAAGTAAATAAATATTATGTCAGAAAATCACCTAAGCTTCAATTTTTGACTCTTTTACCTAGTGTTGAACTGAGCACAGGATACTGCATTCCTCTCTGAAAGAATCTCACCTTACTCCACAATCTGGGATATCTTCCCTCACTTATAAATGGCACTCTTGGAAATGATTTGATTAACCAATTTATTCCAGGTAGACGAGTGTTTTAAGTAAGTCTCTCCTACTGTAATTTCCTTATCCATGTATTGATCACCTTCTGCATGTTAAACACACTAACATATAAAATCAATCAATCTTGAGCTATGGCATTTTTCATGCTCTCTGGGTCCAGAATGAAAACATGTAAAGGTGCTTGATGAGCTCTCAGCAGGATTTGAGATTCTCAAACACCACTTCCCAAGAGACCATTGGTTTTTCTGTTCTATAAATGTTCTCCCCAGGCACTACACAGTTTTAAAAAACAAGACATACGTTAAAAAGAGGAGGCCACTTCAAATTATATCTCCAGGGTATACATAATATAGATTGTCCTAATAAGTGTTTGCCTTTCCATTTGAGGAAAGAAAGTGTTTATAGTTTTCAGGGAAGGTGTCTAAATACATGTATTTAGATAGATTCTAATAAATTCTGAATAAAGAGATACATTCTGAATAAAGGGATACATTCCCTCCCACATCATTTTACCGCTGACTAACGACCTTAGGGCTTCCACTTCAGTAACTGAGTTTTAGAAGGGTTTGCTGAAAACAGTTGAACCCATCTGTCCATTTCTTCAGTCCATTAGCTATGTGACATTGTCTGCTCCATTCTGTGACTGAGAATAAGGTGGTTTGGTTTTCTGAAGGCTGTTTTCTTGAGGTGGTAGATTAGTGAGTAAGAAACCATGCAGGTTCTGGGGTATTCCCATTTTTCTTATTATACTGACAGAGCCATCTGGTGGAGGATGTAAGATATCAGAAAAAGTTAAGTTCTTTTTTTTCCCCTCTGTCTCTCTCCTTTTATTTTATCATTTTTACATTTACTTACATTGTTTGTGCCACCTCCCCTCCACCCACAACCCCACTCTCAGGCAAAACCTGTTCCACCCTCTTCTCTGATTTTGTTGAAGAGAAAACATAAGAGATAATAAGAAAGACATATCGTTTTTGCTAGTATGGGATAAAGATAGCTATACAGAGAGATTCCTAGTATTCCTTCCATGTACATGCATATTGCAACCCACATTGGTTAATTTCTACCAGACCTCTTTGCTACTTCCTGCTCCCCTTCTCATAGCAGCCTCTGCCAATTTAAGTTACTTTATTTGCTACAATACAGTGAGCACATTAACCACATTCAAGTTTTAGGTTTCTTTCCTTTCCCTATTTCTCCTGTGTGTGTTCTCCCCTTAGTGTGTGATCCATGTCCAATAATGTTACTGCATTTGTTTTTGGCCTATAATATGCCTATGAGGGAGAACATGCTATTTTTAGGCTTCTGAGCCTAGCTAACTTCGCATAAGATGATGTTCTCCAGTTCCATCCATTTACTTGAGAATGACAAAATTTCATTCTCCCTTGTGGCTGAGTAAAATTCCATTGTGTATAAATATCACATTTTCTTGATCCTTTCATCTGTTGTAGGGCATCTTGGCTGTTTCCATACTTTGGCTATTGTAAATGGTACTACAATAAACATGGGAATGCAGGTGCTTTTATAGTAACTTGAGTCACATTCCTTCAGGTATATCACTAGGAGTTGGTATTGTTGGATCATATGGCAGATCTATGTTTAGTTTTTTAAGGTGCCCCTATAATAGTTTCCAAAGTGGTTTAACTAGCTTACATTCCCACCAGCAGTGTATGAGGGTTCCTTTTTCTCTGTATCCTTGCCAACATTTGTTGGTGGTGGTGTTCTTGATGATAGCCATTCTACCAGGGGTAGGTGGAATCCTAGTGTGGTTTTGATTTGCATTTCCTTTGTGTCCAGGGATGGTGAGCATTTTTTGTCTTCCTTAGACAAAGTTTTGTTTAGTTCAGTTGCCCACATCTTTATTGGTTCATTGATTTTGGGGGAGTTTAGTTTTT